GAAGTTAGATGTGCATGCGGCGGTGCGAAAGAAATGGATCGGGGCGGAATCGTTCTTCGTCATTCACGGCGAATTATGGATTTTTCAGCACTTTGATAATTTTCACTTTTTCACTTCCCGCTGGAAAAGTATAATATAGAGGAAGTAAACGAAGGAAACTGACACAGGTAGGAGTGTGTTGGGTGTTTTGTGGCTCCTTAGAGGGAAATGCCTTCGTTGCTTGACTTCCGCTGGGCTGCCTCGTTTCTGCTTGAACACGTCAATGCCGTCGTGATTAGTATGTGTTTTTTCTCGTGGAATTCATGCTGTATGTGCTTCAGCTGGTGAGGTTTATGGCTAGAAATGAGTCGCAATCGCAGCCTAGCAGCTCAAATGCGAGTCAATCCGTTCAAAATGGTGTGCCGAAGCATGCGAAAATATCCGTGAAAGGTGAGTGCGAGTAACATTTTTCCTTTTCTTTCACGAATGTCGAAATTTTCCAGTTATTTCGGCAAAACTCACTCTAAGTGGAGGATTTTTGAGTAAACCAGCTGATTCGTATGTTGAAGTTAGCGTCGAAGGTACTCAATCAAGTAAGAAGACGTCTGTCAAGAAGAAGACCAACAGTCCCGAATGGGATGAGTCTCTGTCATTGCCGGTGACAGACGCTTCTGTTCTTCTCTTCCGTGTTTATAATCGTGCAAAACTCTTCGATGATCCACTGATTGCTCAGGCCCAGACAAAAATCGCTTCCATACCGAAATTGGATAGCGGAGAATGTGAGTATCGATTTTTGGTTTGTTTTTCTGCTGAATGCATTACATAGCTTGTTATTTGGAGGGTCGGTAGTAGTAATTTACATTTCGATTTATCAAATATATGCTGTGCAAACATTGCGAAATGTTATGAATTTTGTTTAACCATAATATAACGCTTTGTTTTAAAACGAATTGGTAGCGTTTAGACTTTTTCGGTAGGAAAATAGGTATGATCTCCTAGTGAGAATTACTTAGTGTCTTCAACCATACTTTTTCTAAAATTATTAGTCACCTTTTGTCAGTTACCGATCAATATACATGACATGATATGTCGTGTTTTTTTCGAACTGGCTTCCTATCTGTCTTTTACCGCTTTTTGTCAAAGATTCTCTTGTCATATGACCCATAAAATCGTAAGTTGTGCTGCCTAAAGCAGAGCGTTCT